TAGATTCCCAACAGCAATAAGCTTACAAAGATTTGGCTCAACTTGAAGATGAACCAATGAAGAGATTGCGAGCAAATATGATCAATGAAGCCATGCATTTACTTGTTCAAGCTACGGAGGCCAAAAGTTTGAAGTTAACAAGTTAAAAACGAAGATTTCATGTTGGCATGAAGGCAAAAACAAGTTGGACGCATTGAAATCAATAAAACAAAATTAGAAGCCAGTCGGATAACATGATGTTGCATAGAAAATAGGATCCTATGGATGCGCTACTTTTTTTTATTTTTTATTTTTAGATTTTTCCTAGAAGTCTATTTTTTATAGAACTCTTGTTATGGTATCTTTTTGATATAATTCCGTTTTAAATAGGCTTTTATGAGTTCACTATAAATAAAATCAATTCTTTTCATTGTAAAAAACAACACATTATTGAGAGAATTAATAAAGTAAGATTTGCTTTTCTTGTTCTTCATTTAATGTAATTTCCAACATATCAAAGAATTCATTTTTGTGACGTCAACAAATTCATATCAACAATAATATTTTTTTGTAATTAAGGGTTCAAGTTCTTTCATAATTTTGGTTCCTTAATTCAATAAATTATTAAGCTAAACTTCAACCCAGGATTTTTGCTTTTTTGAATTATGATCAATTTTATGTGGGTCTCAGAGCTATTATTGTTACGTGAATTCACATCAAGTATAAACAGCAGAAAACTCTCGAGAAACTTATCCACGCGCTATATACCCCCTATATAATAAAATTACAGAAAACCCCTTGTTTGAAACCTTTCTTCGTTAAGATCAGTTAGTTTAACCGCTGAAAACAGTAAAAATTATCCAAAATTAAAAAAGAATAATTGCAGTTACAATTTCAAACCTTTTTTCTTTTCTTTTATTTTTTATTTTGCCTATTATACTCAAATTTTTTATATGTGTCACTCACAATCACTGACCTTTAAAACCTTATTTTTCACCTCACCTCACCCTACTTCATCTTCTTTCCTACAATTCTGCCTTTAACCACCAAATTGCCATTGTAGAGAAAAGGACTGTACTTCTCTCTTATTTATACTATTCGCATATATAAATAACCGCCTAATCGTCCCATTTCAAAGAAAAAAAATTAGAAAAATCATTTTGCAGATTTGAAAAACTCTCTAGTTCTGCACTGGGGGTAAGGGTAGGGTGGTTATTTGGGAAAATAAAATATTTTGGGTAGCGCTATTTTCATCCACACTTTTTATAAGTACATTACACTCTAAGTTCATCCCTAATAAAATTTTAAGTAAATACTATTTACATCCACGTTATATTCTAATCTTGTCCTTACTAAATTCATTCATTTAAATAACATATATTCACGTAAAATTTATATATTCATCTCATTTTAAATACATCCCTAACACTATGGATTCATTTTTCTTTATTAGAATCTGTAGGGAAAATTTGTACTAAAATGCAAATATTCACAACGCATCATTCATCCTATCAGTAACGACATTATCTAGCCTTGACAAAGTTACGGATTTATCATAAACTTAAATAAAAGTTGAACTAATAATCACTCGTGAAGAATAAAAAATACCAACAGTTTTTTCAGAAAACTTATAGTTTACATCAAATGTGTAAAATTTATTTGGAACTAGATTATTAGGGGAAAGTGAGACTAGTTTAGTAATCATGTTTACATAACACCAAAACAATTTCAAATTAAGTCCTTCGAAGACTATCACTGCCCACAGTTTAGTTTCTTCCTCAAAATTTCCATAAACGTCCTAATATTGAAAAACTTGAATTCAGTGAAGGTTCAAATGATACATTATCTTGATTAACAGAATCTTTCAGAGTCAAGCATCGGCTGTTTTGAGGATGGGAGGAATGGGCAACTCGCCTTTCTAAGAGCCCTTCATCTTGGCTTCATGATCACAGATCTTCTGCATCTGGAGCATTATCTTCATAACAATCTCATACTCACACTTTTCATAGGTGTGGCACTCCGCCTCACATTTTCAGGGCAAATAGAACAATTTCGGTACAATTCTGAAATGTGGTGAGAAGAAGTGGAGTAGTAAGTGAGGAGAATCTCTCTCTAAGAGTTCTCTGGAATAGGAACTATTTATTTGGATTTTGGGTGGTGTTGTAATTCTAGAATGTTTTAATTAAGCTAATTATATGATTTCATCAGTTAGTAGGGTAGTAATCAAATTAGTCAATTTTTTTAGAGTATTGCCTAAGTTTCCCTAATTATATTCATGTAATTTTTCTTAAACTATTAGGATACTAGTTAAACACAAATTCTAAAAGAAAAAAAAAAAAGATTTAGGATAATTTAATGAAAGTAAAAATTAGTGGATCTATTTAGAGTTTTGTATTTTTATTTAATTATGTTTATGTCTATTTAAGTAAATTTACATAGGATTTAAAATATAATTAAAAAAATTTCAAAATGGATGTACTTATAAAAAGTGTGGATGGAAATAGCGCAACTCAATATTTTTCTTTTATTATAATGCTTTAAATTGTTTTACATGAGATTTGTTTGTAACTTTTTAAAAAATTAGAAACTCTAGTTAGAATTTTTTATTTTTTTTTGTATTACTTCTTTCTTCTCCTTGTTTATTTAAAGATGATGATAAATTAGCTGTTTTATAATGTTATAATGGAAAAAATGGAGGCAATGACATTTTAAGCAAATAAATGTTGATCTGAATGCTCAAATGTCAAAATTAAAACGATAGGGACTATTTATGCAATTAAAACAAATGATAGGAATGTTTTGTGTCAAATTACACATATTTAATTGAAGGATTTAACGGAATATGATGGAAAAGACCAATTTTGCAAAAAGAAAAAAAAGTTTGAAATGAGAGTATAAATGATAAATTTGAAATGATAGAGACCATTTTCGCAATGAGTATAAATGATAGGTATAGTTTTTACTAGTTATCCATTTATTATATATAATATAAGTACATATACATAGAGAACCTTTGTTACACATACACATATATACTTACGCACCGTATAAGAGTAATAAGGCAAGTTTCTTGACTGTTATATCCTAATGAAGTCTTATTATGAATAACTAACGCTAATTAAATTAACTAAAATCAAACAATTGCGTCCATTAACTTATTTAGTCCCACTTTGATTTTATTTACAGCTAATCAACTTAAATAGACTTAATAACTTGGAAAAGAAACATGACAAATTTCAAGAACTTACCTAGTTTCTATTTATATGGCAAGTTAGTAATTTATAAACAAACAATAAAATAAGTACGTCATATAGTTTATCTCAAGTTTTATTGAATTCTATGCATATTACGATTAACTTTAATGGGCATGTCGATCTTTTAGGATGTTCAAAGTATAACCCACTGCAACATATTTTAGGCCCTCATTTGATAGCAATTTTTCATCTCAAAAAATTAATTTTTTGACCGTTATTTCACTATTCCAACTATCATTTTTTATTTCTTCACTCATAGGTGTGACCCACTTTTCTCTCTAAGGGTCAAAAAATCAATTCTCATAATCATTATCGAACAGGTCCTAAGCATAATGATGATAAATTATTAAATAAGCATTAAATATATCATTAGGCGATATCATATTTGCAAAATTAGGAAAAAGAGAAACGTAGCGTTGAGAGATTGGCTTGCAAAATTGATTTTTGGTCTCTCATTGCATTCATGTGGCTACCAATTCTATGGCTGAAGCTTTTGCTCTCAAATTGGGTCTCTATTATTGCTATCTCGTGGGTGTTAATGAAGTTAGGATGGAAACCCTCTGTTAGTGGAGCATTGGTTTAATAGGCGTGGAACCTTAATCACTTTTGGGTGGAAATAATGGAGTTGACGAAGTATTTGGATCTCAAAATCAATCATGTTTATCGCGAAACAACTCAGTGACTAATTCTTTAGCAAGGTCAATTGCAAGTGGTGGTTCTCAATTTGTTACTTGTATCAATGATTTGCCTATGGCTGATATTGGTTGTACTATCTCTGTTTGAATTTGAATGTGGCATAAGTTTTATTTAAAAAATTACTTGGAATTTTATTTGAAGTCCATTTTACAAATTTTAGTTAAAATTTTATTTGGAAGCCATTGAGAGTTGAAAATTGTGTTAAACTTGAAGAGATCAAGACATTGTAAAGTATCAACACAATAATTGCTTCTATTCAACAAAAAAGGGAAGAATAAGAGAGGTACAAATGCAAACAAGAAATAAACTCCAACTAAAGACACCTTGAAAAATAGGATTATTCTCTGTGTACAACTTATGGTTTACACAATAGATTATACCTCCTCACATGAAGGGAGGCCCATAAATATTTTTTGTATGTGAGCCCCCTTTTTGTGAGGGGATGTAATGCTTTGTGTACACCATTTTATACACAAAATATGAACCTTGCTACTTATAAAGAAATTGTTTACACCTTTGTTCACAGATGATTATTTGTCATCCATTTTTGCCCTTGATTTGAATTAAAAGCAAAAATATATGCCACCTTATCATCTATTAACAAAGGTAGAAACAACTTTTGTATAAGTAACTTAATTGAAAAAAAAAAAAAAAAAAAAAAATATATATATATATATATATATAGCTGTTGGTCCAGGCTTGTGGACCAACTCAAAAACAGGAGGTTGAGGTGTCACCACACCTCAGCCCTTGATTTGAATTCCATGAATTGAAATTGCTTGGACCAACAGCAGAACTCATATATATATATATGATCTCGTTTGATAACCATTTTTTTCAAAATACATTTTTTTTCTCTACTTTTTAATAACACATTCTTTATTAAAATAATAGTACACATAAATCAAAAACTTTTTTTTATTTCTCAACCACACATTTCACATCAATTTATTATTTTAAAATGCATTTTTACATAAAAATGTACATCAAACACCACACACACACACACACATATGTATAAACATATTTTATGAGGAGAATAGATAGAACTCTTGTAGCGGAAGAAACGGATTTACGCTAAAATCTCGATCATTATACTCTCCATGTTGCGTACTACAAACCAAACATGCAATACACGTTTTTGCTCGTACTATTTCGTCCCAGAAAGGTTAACACCTTCAAACTAGTCTCTGAATTTTTAGAAATTGTCTAATTCTACAGAAGAGTCTCCACAGCTAGATATACAACAGTGTTAATATGCATAGCATAACGCATAAAACAATCTGAAAGAATTAACAAATCTAGAAAAAGCGTAATGATACTAGGTGAATCCCAAGGGAAAAAAACTCCCAATGCTTATATTAAAGGAACAGTAACCACCACATTTTTCCTAGACCTACAGAAAGAATTTAAGCGGTCATCATTAAATGTTCCAAAACCTGAAAGTCGAATCCCATATGCTTCCATCCTACGGATATCGCGTGGAAGAGGTGATTGCCAAAGTCCATCCCACCAAGCAGGAGGAAGAAGTGGGGTAAATGCACATTGGTTACGCTGGTTGTGACAACTCAACTGACCGGCGAATCTGTTCCATATATGACCCCATCCAACCTGAAATCTTAAACCGTCTGAAAGCAAGTTGCTATGAAAGCTACTAAGGAATGTAATGCTCGGAAGAGTCGAAGAATTCTCTTCTGTGGAAAAACAAGAGGAAACTGTCAGAAAAAAGAGTAACTTGCACAAGTGAATACACCAGAATTGAAGTCATGACAAGTACCGAGTCTGTTAGCCGCTGCTAGTGCTGCAATCAACTGAGCATAAGTTGTCCCAACACGTCGGTTAGCCCCAGAAATAACAGCATGTTTTGCACGTGACGCAAGAAAGAAGTCGACAAAGGCCACCCATCTGGGGGCTGGACCCCAATCCTTCACTCTAAAATTTACGTTATTTAATTTGTACATTTCTCCGGAGATATTTCCATAACGTTCATAATCAAAGCGAAGAACCTAAAAAGGCAAAACCAACAAGGACTCAAACATTGTAGTTCTGTCGTTTATATCATAAACTAAGAACAAGTTTTAAGCATAATTCCAAAGTAAAGTCTATAAAATCCCCTCAGATAAAGAAAGGGAAATATATTAAAAGCTTCCTCTAAAAGATTTATCCTAGCCAAAAACTTCTCCAAGTTTTGAGGTCAATTAGGTCACTGTGTGAGCTTATTCTAACGATGCCCAAGAGAAGCTTGGAGATTGAATTGTATGATCCAGAAATAGAGCACTTGGTTCGACATGGCAGAACAATTTAGGCAGGACTAAGAGGAGTGTTTTTGCCTGATTATTTCATCAAGTGAATTTGAGAAAGAAAGAGCAGAAGTGTTTATTTTAGGAAGTATACATTAATTTGGATGCCCAAAAAGGACATTAACACATTTAACTTGGGACAAACGTGACTATTTTTTATTTAGGATTTTACTTGGGTCTGTTGAAAATGCATAACCATTTGTATTTGCAAAGGAGAAGTTTCAAGGGGATACATAGCATATTCAGAAGTAGAAACAAGAATAACTCCATAGAAAGCAGGAAATTTTCATAATAGCTTGCAATGTGGTAAAGGACTATTACCTCTGCAAATTCAGCCAAATTTCGTGCAATATCCTTCACGGTAGAAGGGGTATCCGAAACTAAAACCACTTTAGGTTTGGATATCAATTGCAGATTTTTGACAGCTCTTCTAATGCAACCCAAGGCTGCCTGCACTGCTCTCACAGACCTGCAACAGATGCAGATTGACAAATGCTGCTGTCATTAATCTATTGCAAATCACAAGATCTCGGAAGGATAAACACAGGTCATATGTTACTTTTTTCACAATATTTTAGAAGAGAGTAGGATAGATATGCAATGTGGGTATTCTCGAGTAATCTCAGGGATTTACTCATTCTCATTTGTCCATACACACACACACACACACACATGTGTGTGTGTGTATATATATATATATATATATATATATATATATATATATATATATATATATATAATGTTCTTTTAGCAAACTATAAATGCACCATCAAAATGCAACTTGTCCGTTCATACATTTTTTCGAAAAAAAGATAAGCAGCTGTAAAATAGATGTCTACCCATTCATAAGCATCCTCATGTGCAGTGCAATATCAGGATCAGCCCCATCATTAAGAGCCCAATTAACTGCCCGTTCAACATTTTCAGAAGGAGATATGAGAACTCTCATCAGCTCTCCAAATACATTAGGCCTGAGTTCAAGATTCTCGGGCACACCAAATAGATTAGAAGCAGTTTTTCTCATTTCAGAGTGTATATTCTTTAAGAAAAACTGAGCAGCTACAGCATCTGTTGTATTTTGGAACCTGGAAAATGAGATATAATGAATATTTTCCAATTATGTACAGAGAACAAGGACTTACACTTATAATATTCATTTTACCATATGATAGGTTGATCCCATTCTCTCCAATTGCTGCAGAGAACATTCGTTCGTGCTGGTTTCTGAAAATCATCAATCCTCATCACTAGATGCCTTCCATATTTTGTCAGACAACCATGTTGTCTCCATAAATGTTTGACTTCTTTCAAGGTGAAGGAAAGGTTGGAATAGGAGACGTAGTCTCCAAAAGGGTATTTACCCCTGATTGTCACAAGATGAAACAAGAATTAGCTACTTCAAGCAATATGAAACTATGACACTACTTTGAGGCTATAATATGATGCATTTTTCCATGTGATAAGGATAGAAGACATAGTTGAATGCATTTTATTGCTTTCTGTTGGGTAATGCAAACTAGAACTTTGGTGCCCATATACTTTGTTTACTTGAATAGATTAGAAAGTCATTGAAGAACCAAATGTACTAAAGACTGTCAATTTTGACCGTGATAGGGCTCCCCCCCCCCCCCCCCCCCCTTCTTTTCCATTTCCATTTTCATTTTCCTTTATTTTATTTTATTTTATTTTATTTTATTTTTTTTTTTGAGAGGGGAGGTTGTCAGGGATGAGGTCCGTTTCTTTTTCCTCTCTTCTGAGGGAATGAAAACATATTTTTTTAATAGATAAGGGAATGCTAAATTTGTTCAAAGAATCAAAAGGCTTGATAACTTGCAAACCCAAAGTCAAAAATCAAATAGAAAGGCTTGAGAAAGAACCAATATGCCTGGTTTGCCCAATAATCAGTGACCGGTTCAACATCACACTCAGTGCTGCAGCAGTTAACATCTTGTACATTTCATTACCCAAACCAGCTTCTGATGCTTTTCCAATCACAAAACCATGCCTGCAGAACTGATCTGGAGGGATTCCTCGTACTCTTGAAGCACCTTCAATAAATATTTGTCATGACTACCACATGATCTTCAATTATGCTAATTCCATGAAAGCATATTTTTCTAATCCGCTAAGAAACTTTTATCTTGAATTCATGACATCTCCATGTAAACTTATAATCTACCTTGACATCTCCATATAAGCTTATAATCTACCTTGTTCATTTAAAAAATTGTTCAGCAAAATTATTTTCTGTACATGAAAATAAAATTTAGGACATGTTCAAATACATGACATAATTTTCCAAGTCAATAAAATCCATTCCTTAGTAGAACTATTTACTTGATCACATCTATGTATGGAACAACTCCAACAGGCACAAATGAAAAAGTCTTAACACATTAGCATATATATAGAAAATGTAAAGCTTAATCCCACTAGGGAGATAAAAACAAATAAAAATGGTTTTGTCATTCTATGGAAATAATTTCTTTTATTGTAACATGCTAGGCTAAGCTTAAAAGTAAGTCAAATTTACTTTTATGTGCCCCCCCCCCCCCCCCCCAAAAAAAAAAATTGAATATAATTTTTCGCCAAGCTTATAATTAAACAAATGATTTCCTTTTTACCTTTTCCAGTTATATCAAGAATCATACCATCAAATTAAGTTGGTTTCTTCACTATAAGCAAAAGACCAAACATGCTCTAAAATTTTAATTTTATGTGTTTCTCCTCGACTTCATAGCATGTTCCTTATGATAAATTCCACCAAAAAAATTCAAAGTTGGCAATCAATACAGAATTACAAAATAACTACCTACTCCTAATACTTTAGTCAAGATAAAACCAGATTTTTAGAAACTAAATCACCATGTGTTTTCTTGCCCTTTGCCACGTTTAAATCCAATTTTGTATTGCCATTGTAACCCTTCATCGAGAACACAAACATATACCATCGGTTCCACATAAATACGAAACAGACAAATATATTGCAACTTGCATATAATAAATATCCATCAGTTCCATCAAGTCATGCAGTTTTATCCATTATTATCCATCTCTGCATGTGGGTGGGAGTTTAGGTAGCAAAAAACGAGTACAAAACCCACCATCACATTATGACATGTTTTCTTACCTCTTAATTCTATCTCTCTAAGTGAAATGCATTTGTCATGTTTTTGGTGGCATATAATTGAGCTGGGACTTGGGATTTAAAATTTTATGAAATTTCTTTCAAGGCACAATCCTCATGCTGCAGACTAAATCTTCATAAAACAAGCACTAAAGATATGATCTACATTCAGGAATCACTTTTATTTGTTCCTTGCAATTAGCTCATATATCGTACTAAGCTTTCCTAAAAAATATATCTTCCTTTAAAACACAATAGAGGCATCAAATTTGTGACAAGTACATCATACATCCGCTCTGGAAAATATGACTTCCGTTGATAATGAAACAATGAACACATAATAACATCAGCGCGAATTCATAAACCATATGAAAAATGAATATAAATACCATTAAGAGCAAAGTGATTCTGAATTATTCTTCTCACTCTGAGGCTTTCCTCCCGATAGCTTTTGCTAAAGATCTCCCCCATCTCTTCCACCGTTGCACAATTTTTGACATCCTTTTTAACCTTAGCATCTTCAGATTTATTAAGAGTTCTGTCGATCATACTGGAAAGATTTTCATCCTTTTCAACAATTTGAATGGCGGTATTCTTGATCGGAAGGTCAGTGGACGGATCGATGGACCTAAGAGTGAGGATCAATAAGCCCAGGCCAGTGAACACTGCACTTGAGATCAGGAAAAAGTGTACCGACAGTCGCCGCCGTCGCCATCCGGCGGATCTCATACTCATTTTGACACAGTGTGCGTCGTGGTGTTTCAGGCTGGAGATTTAAAACTGGAAAATGTCAGAATCGAGAAATCTTTCTCCGCTCCGAGGTAATCTAAGAAAGCCGAGTTTACTCGTTTGAATCGTAGATGCGATTTCAGTACAAAAGTTCTTCTGTAGAGTATTTATTAGATTAAAGAAAAATTCTGTGGTCATTTTGGACTTCTACCATTACTGCGGATATCTGTGAACCTCAAAAAAATAAAAATAAAAAATAAAAAAATAAAAAAATAAAAGGAAATTTATCGTCAAGAAAAATCATTGTCGCTAGAGGAATAGTACCATCAACAAAGAACAATATTGGAAGAAAAGGAAAAATCCAAAAGAACTAGACAATGAGAATGGTGATAAGGCTTGTTGGAACTTAGATTGAGGTTGTGTTAAAATTAAATCATTGACAACAATCCGAATGAATATAAAGCTTGTTAAACAATATAAATTCGTGGAAGAGGTAGAGGGTATGAACATGTCTCCCTTTTTCTCTCGTCTCCATAGTAACTTGCTCTATCAACAAGACTTAAAAATAGATCTAGGTTATAATTGGGTATGCACTTACAAGAAGATTAGTTAGGTTGTGATGCTACCAAAAATCGTATCTATCGATTTCTCGAGCTTGATGACTAGGAATGAACATGAGAGAGATCTTCCAATACCTTAAATAAAGGCGTCGAGGTGTGTCATCGTCGCTGCTTAAGTCAGAAAAAGGATTTATGCGTGAGGTTATAAACTATAAATTATGTAAAAACGTACATGAATAATGAATGTAATGCATGTATTTATAGAGGTAGGTACTGCACTCCTATTAAGATTAAGTTAGTCGAATGTTCTTATTCGTAGGAGTTGTACCAGAAAGAAGTATTGGACTTGTACTACAATTGTAAGTCCAATCATAACCTGATAGTGACGTATTTGAGATAGAGTCTTCGTAGGAGTCAAGTGTCAATGTATTTGGATAGGGTTAGAGTCCTAAGTATATAGGAGTCATCATAGGATAAGAATAGCTACCTTAGGACTGAAGGGGCAGGCTCGAGGACTTTAAGCATCTAAGTAGCTACCATGCCCGAGGGCATATCCCAAGGATAGTTACCATATACAGTCGCCATCGCATGGTACATGATGCTCAAGCACACCATATCACAAGCACAACATTGATGGAGTAACCAGAAAAGCCTTTTCAAGTCTTCGGGAATACGAAGCTCGGGATATATGAATATTTACCACATCGCTGGCCTTGTGCATCGGAGCTTGAGATAGAGTTCGAAAAAGGATTCTTAGGAGCAAGATGCACAAAAGCTCGAGACAACGATGTGTGTGATCATTAAGATATTATTATAATAGAATGAGACAAGTAATAATAGCTCGAGCACCAGCACTAGCAGTCATGGTAAAAAAAAAGAGGTCACTTGGATGCGTGACACGTGGCATGGGTTAAAGGCTGGGATTGATGTGACTTTTGGTCTCCTCTCCAAAACCCAATAAATACGCTTTTACCACCTTTATTTTTCACTTTTTACTCTCCGTGGAATCTTTTCCTGTGAGAACGGGCTCGAGTAAAAAGTTTAAAATTTCCATTTGGGCATCGGGTAACTGAGATAAGGTTGGAGACCTTTAAGTTATTTTTTAGAAGTTTTAAATTAAAGGGATGTCGAGTAGTGAGAGTGATCGAGGATCTAAGGGCACGAGGGTTCTGAGGACGATAGGACACAGCTAATCCCTATGGCCATTCCTTTAGATGCTCGACCTAAGGAACATGGTGACCTAGCAATGTAGACGACACTTAGCAATGCAGGCGGCACTCTCAATGTAGGCGACGAGAGAGTACGGGCTCATGCCTTATAATGATTGTAGGGCACCTGACCTTGAGGATAAGATGGCTCGGGCCTGGGATGGTAAGTTTGTCATTTTAGGGATTTCTTGAAAGCCGGGTTTAGGTGGCCTATGCATCCCTTTTTGTTAGGTTCTTGGTCGTGCATTCAATGTGCCCAGTGCAACTAGTGCCCAAAGCTTGGAGAATGCTCATTTATTTCTTCATAGCTTGTAGGTATCTAGGCATAACTCTCTACCTTGACCTATGTCGAATGGTGTTCGAGCTAAAGCAGCTCAGCGCTTTACCCGTTTCGCCTACCTCTCTACTCGAGGTGGGTTTAGGACCCCGTGGATGCCTAGTTCATTAAAAGGGACTAAGGACTGACTCCTTCAACCGTCCAAGACATTTTGTATTAAGAACTAAGGACTGGCTCCTTCAACTATGCAAGACACTTTGTGTTAAGAATCAAGGACTGGCATCATCCAAGAAAATCTCCAAGTTCCTCCCTAAAATACGGTGAGATAATATTGCCAGAGACATATCCACTTGTGGTCAACTTGATGTGATGGATAACAGTCATATTTTTCATTTTTTGGCCAAATAATGGGAAACAAACAAGGCTACAATTTGTCACACTTTAAATTAGAAGGCTAACTAATGATGGCTTGATCGTTCACACGGTTGACTTAACTTATTTTGAGAAAAATACTATGCATACGTAATTCTCTATATTTACTGTAATCCTGAGGTGTAGCTCAGTGGTCAGACCTTAAGTTTGCTTCTCAATGGCACCTGCTTGAATCTCCTCAGGACCACTAAGGTGAACCTTCATTTTTGAGAAACGGAAGGGCTTGGTAGGCTCTATAAATCTATTATGTGAGGATGTTGAGCATAGATGTTGTGCAAGATATTTATACAACAATTTCAAAACCATGTTAATATTTCTAAAAAGTGACATCGATCCTAGATATATCTCATACAGGGCGTCAAATTTGATTGGAAACGCGCCAATGAACTAAAACCATGTGAAATTTTAGTTAAATTTGATTGGGAAGGCAAAATTGATTCGAAATGTGCCAATGAGCCAAAGTCATGTAAAATTTTAGTCAAAGTTTAATTAAAACAAAGCATTGCGATGGTCCGCGCAGATGCTCACGCAATGTGATTTCTGCCCAGTGCTTTGAATGTCAAAGTGAAGAAATTCAAAGATTGTTATCAGTTTTAGACATGATGGTATGGATGATCCTTTGGACATTCAGTTGATAAAATTACACCTTTAAGGCGAGATGAGTAACTTAGTTTAATCTCAAGTGTTGAAGCAATAAAATTTAGGACATCATTCACTTGTTGACATGTGAACTTGTGATAGTGAGATCTATCCAAACCAAGAGAGGGTAAGGACTACAGTTACTAGAGCCATAACTTTAAAACACAACCCCGAGATAATTGAGTAAAAAGAATGAGTTTGGAGGGTTGTGTATCTCTCTAGCGAAGTGAGAACATAATTGACCACTTTGGGTCGGGACTAACTCCATCATGAACGTGATATGTTGGCATGAGTTCACACACACACGTCAAATATGTAGTTAATAGGTAAAGGTTAGTTTCATTCATGCACTGCTGAAACTTCTTTTAATGACAAACACTAAAGTCTAATCCTGAGACACAGCAGGTTATTAAGCCATGTTTGTCAGAGTTAAGTCACTTATTGTTTGAGGACAAACAATAGTTCAAGTTTGGGGGTTTGATAAGTGTGTTTTTACACTTATTTAGTTTACAAATATGACTTAAATTTCAAGCAAAGTGTTTGAATTATGGCTTAATTTCATTTAATTCATGTATTGTAGGTTATATTGATGGACATGGTGGAATTCACGTGAAAAGATTCGAAAAAGGACCAAAACGAAGCAAAGTAAAAGTTCAGGGACCAAAGCACAAATACCCAAGAGTTAAACTAAAAGGAGAATCGAGAATGCAAATGAACTAAGTATCAATTCAGGGATAATGCGGGATGGTCAGAGCAAGAAAGACAAGAAAAAGGACTAGAACAAAGGAAAACGAATAGGGACTAAAATGCAATTACCCAATAGATGACCCGAAGGAAGAATCGAGAAATTGAATGAGCTAAGTATAAATTGGGAATCATTGTGAGATGATGGACCAAAATGGACGAAGAAAAGAGGCCAACAAACAAGAAAATAGAGTTTGGGGACCAAAACAGTAGAAAATGGAAATTATTTCTACCATGCGGTCGCATGGTAGAATATCCATGCGATCACAAAATGGGGTCCAGGAAATTCCAGGACCAAAATGAATCGTACCATGCGGTTGCATGGGTTAAAATTCTAACACAATTCTGTAGTTTTTTGTTTTCACTAAAACTCTTTTGGAATTCGATTAGGACGCGATATAAAAAGCCTAGACTCGTCAGGTTTTGGGGGAAAACGCATTGGGAGCAACAAAACACATTTTAGAGAAGATTTTTAGCGAAAGTAACGAAAGATTTCATGAAGATAATCAAGATTTCATGCGAATTCATGACCCGGTGATGTTTTATTTTCAAAAAATCATGTATTCTTTTATTTTCTCTATGTTAGACTAAATATTCTTGTACTAGGAGATCGATGAACCATGTAATGTGATATTTTGATTTCTAGTTTTTCAATTCGACATTAAAACACGTGTTAATTATTTGAATGATTTATATACATTACTTTCTTCCATAATTAAGTGCACGTAATTATGTGATGTGTGGTGATTTATTTCTTGCATTCGAGACTCGAGAGAAAGGAAATAGATTCGACAGAATATAAAATATCGTAGGGTCTGATAGGGGATAGAGATATACTCTTATGCTTTGCATGAATCGTTAAATGCTCATAAAATCACATGCATTCTTATATATATGCATCCGTCATAGAGATATAGGCTGATGGTGTATGAGAATAGGTTCAATATTGTTCGAAAGAGAGTATTAGATAGATTTAGGAACATTGATTTTTCAATAATTCAATCGTGTTGTCATATTATGAAACTAATGTTTAAGGTGATCATTGCATGGGAATTCGTGATTTTAGTGCGTTTAAGATTTCATTGCGTAAAATCAACTTGTGTTCCAACCATCATATTGCATTACAATTCATTTAAATACATCATTTTGCGTTTTTAATTCATTCAACGATCATTTTGGAGAAATTAGGGGTTTCTATAATTAGGGTTTTGCTAAATTAGGGTTTTTTAGGTTAAAACTTCAATTTTGATAATTTTGTGTAGGTTAAGGCTACTCTAGATAAAGTTGAACTACTCAATCTTTGTGGGACGATATTCGGAACTCAATATTCCACTTTATTATTTGTTAACGAACCGTACATTTGCGGTAGTTTTAAATTTAAAGAATTAATTTCGTGAATACAAAAAAATGACATCACGTGAGGGGAATTGGAAAACTAATTTCATGGAATTTTTTTGCTATCAAACAACCATTTTTGGGTGGAAATGAATTTTATTTCCCATTTTGCATTGTAAAATAAGCATATCGAACAGTCATTTAGGGTCCGTTTGATTGTAAAGATGGAATTTGAATGGAAAAAAACGAATTTCAAGGAATTGAATTACCTAGAAATTATTTTTTTGAAAATTGTAAATTATTGTGCTTGATTGTTATAATTTTCCTTGTGAAAAATGTTAAAATAAAAGTATTTTTTAGTATTCGTTTGACTTTATTTTATATAAAATTTGTCAATTAAAGGGATTGAATTTACTGGTATTGGGGATGAAATTTATTTCCATTGCCGAAACCCAAAAAAAAGATTTCAAGAAAATCATCTATCTTTTGATATTCGATTGACTTTGTTTTACATAAAAATTGTCAATTAAAGATAAATGTTTTTTTACAATAATTCTTATAATTTATTTTCATTGCAAAAAAGAAAAAAGAAAAAAAGATCAACGGTAACGGGAAAAATCAATCCTCACAATAGCAAGAATTGATTTTCCAACAATAGCAAGAAAAATGTAATTCCCAAGAAATCAAAGAATTCCTATTCCATGAAAAATAAATCCCAATTAAACACACAAAAATTGAAAAATGCCATTCAATTTCCATTTTTCATGGAAATAAATTGTCAATCAAACGGCGCCACAGAGAAATTTACCTTATTTGATTTAACCCAACACAAGACGACGTCGTAATATGTTGGTGTCGCGAGCCCTTATCGTCCATTTGCGCCCAAACACTCGACAACAGCCCTTTTCTCGCAAAATCTTCAAACCATTACACTTCTGCAATTTCACAAATTCTCACTTCATTTCTTGGACTTACAACTGAAAAATTCAAACAGACCTCAAAAGTGGGATAAAATTCATATAACTCAATTTTTGTTGAATTAAATCCCTATTTTATTTTTCCTAAAATTTTGAAGCGTTCATGAGGAAATGTGCACTCCTTGCCTGACGGAGCAACGCATTCTCCCTAAATAGGTTCGTCTTAATTCTTCTCTTTTTCTTTTTTAAATTTCGAACTGTGGTTTCGTTGGTTGTCTCAATCTAGGGCTCCACTGTCTTTGGTTTATTTTGTATGTTGATTGGTACATACTTTTATCTTTTTTGCCCTTCCTTTTCGTTGTAAGAATGGTTGTTTTGGTTGGAAGAGTTATAGTTGGAAATTCAAAAGCTTTAGTTTTGTTAATTTTTGTAAGGAAAAAAACTTTAATAACGAATGAAATTGCCCAATTTTATTCTTTTTGTTGCGGCTGGAGGCGTTGTTCCAGTTCTCGAGGAAAATGGAAAACAAAGGCCAAAATTATAGAAAGGTTTTTCCTGCATTGTTGACTAAAACATTTCTGTTGAAGCCTTTTTCCATTCTGGTGTGTTGGGGG